ATTTATTGTAGAGATGAGGTCTTGCCAAATTGCCCAGGCAGGTCTCGAACCTGTGGGCTCAGGCAATCCACTCACCTCAGCCTCCCAAAGGTGCGGGATTACAGACTGAGCCACCGAGCCCGGCTACATCTGAGAATTTTGAGGAAAAGAGTTGCTCTGGCCTGGATGTTTGTGTTTCCCGGAAATTCCTATGTTGAAACCTAATCCCCAGTGCAATAGTATTAAGAGGTGAGGCCCTTAGTGGATGATTAGGTCATGAGGGTGGAAACCTTACAAATGGAATTAGTGTCCTCATAAAAGAGGCCCAAGGAAGCTTGTTAACCCCTCCTCCATGTGAGAACTCAGTAATAGGGGCTATCTAGCTGGGCGCGGTGGCTCACGCTGATAATCCCAGCACTTCGGGAAGCCGAGGCGAGAGGATTGCCTGAGCCCAGGAGTTTGAGAGCAGCCTGGGCAACTTGGCAAGACCTTGTCTCTACAATGAATCAAAAAAATCAGCCGGGCGTGGTGGCACACACCTGTGGTTCCAGCTACTTGGAAGGCTGAGGCAGAAGGATCACCTGAGCCCAGCAGGTCGATGCTAGGGTGGTTGTGAGTATGCCACTGCACTCCAGCCTGGGGTTCAGAGTGAGACTCTGACTCAAAAAAAAAAAAAAGTAAAATAAAGGACCACCTATGAAATGGAGAGCAAGTCCTCATCACACTCCAAACCTGCTAGCACCTTGATCTTGGACTTTCCAGCTCCCAGAACCGTGCACAATACATTTCTGTTATTTATAAATGACCCAGTCTAAGGTATTTTTTTTTTTGAGTTGGAGTCTCACTCCTTCACCCAGGCTGGAGTGCAGTGGCATGCACGCTCATGGCCACCCCAGCGTCGACCTTCTGGGCTCCAGCAATCCTTCTGCCTTAGTCTTCCAGGTAGCCAGAACTATGGACGTGTGCTACCATGCCCGGCTATTTTTAATTTTATTGTAGAGATGAGGTCTTGCCAAGTTGCCCGGGCTGTTTTTGAACCCATGGGCTCAGGTAATCCACTTGCCTTGGCCTCCCAAAGTGCTGGGATTACAGGCTGAGCCTCTGAGCCTGACCTGGTATTTTGTTAAAGCAGCCCAAAAAGACTAAGACGGGGGTTGCCCGTTATCTTGGTAAAAACCTATTAGAAACAGGCCTTGATAGTGAGGAAGAGGGAAAGTACACAGAACACCTAAAAAAACAAAGAGGAGGGCAGGGAGAGGAAGGTACAGAAAGGAAAAATGGGGGCCTAGCAATGAGGCCTACTGTAGAACTCTGGTGAACCCAATCATGTCAGTGCTGGAAGGTAAAGGAGAAGAAAAGGCAAAGGAGGAAACCACCTTCCTCTGAGTCTGATCTGAAAGAGAGGATCTCCCATCCGACAGGCAGGAAGACAATTCTTGAGGGCCACAGAGATGATGAGCTTAAGGGGCCCGAGGGGAGCCAGGGGAAGATGTCCAGGGGCGGGCTGGAGGGGAGTGGGCCAGGGACATCCCATTTGGAGTCATCCGTGCCCAAGTAGAACCAGGAGCTGAGCCAGCAATGCAGTGACCAGGAGAGGGAGGAGTCTGGGAGAGAAGATTCTACCAAAGAGAGAAGACCAAACATTCCCAAGACAGGAAGCAGATAAGCATTGGAGAGTGTTGAATTTCACACTCACCACAGTGCCCAGGGTATCTAGAAGATAGAAAGTGGAGCTAAGTGTTGGAGTCAGATGAGCCTTGTAAAAAGCTAGGTGACAAAATGGAGGCAAAAGAGGGGCAGTAGCTGAGAAGGAGGAAGAACTGACCTGTTCAACCGCTCATGGAAAAGGTAGAGTGCAAAGGTGGAGAGTTCAAACGGGGAGAAGTGGAGAGTGTTTATCTAGCACAATATCAAAACCATTGCATTCACTGCACTTGTCTGCCATCCCACCCTCCTTCCTTTCCCTGCTTTAAGATACGGGGTGTTATTTCATGGACTTTTGAGCTTTATTAAAATGATGTTGGCTGGGCTCAGTGGCTCAGTCTGTAATTCCAGTACTTTGGGAGGCTGAGGCAAGTGGATTGCCTGAGCCCACGGGTTCCAGACCAGCCTGGGCAACTTGGTGAGACCTCGTCTCTACAATAAATCACAAAAAGTAGCCGGGCGTGGTGGTGTGCGTCTGTAGTTCCAGTTACTTGGAAGGCTGATGCAGAAGGATTGCCTAAGCCCAGGTCGAGGCTGCGGTGGCTGTGAGCAGGCCACTACACTCCAGCCTGGGTGACAAGAGTGAGACTCCAACTCAAAGGAAAAGAAAAGAAAAAAAAATGGTGTCATACTTTATGTGATCTATAGTCACTTGACGTTTTCACTCAACATTATACTCGTGTTCCCTGAATATTCATCCGTGCTCTCTCATTTTCACTGTTATACAGTAGCCCATTGTGAATATGTGCTATTTTTGTAGTCATTCTACTCTTAAGAGATCATTTGAAAGCCGGGTGTGGTGGCTCATGTCTGTCATCCCAGCACTCTGGGAGGCAGAGGCAAGAGGACTGCTTGAGGTCAGGAGTTTGAGACCAGACTGATCAACATGGTGAGACCTCGTCTGTACAATCAATCAAAAAATTAGCCCAGCATGGTGGCATGTGCCTGTAGTTCCAGCTATTTGGAAGAATCGTCTGAGCCCAGCAGGCCAAGGCTGAGGTGGCCTTGAGCTTGCCACTACACTCCAGCCTGGGTGACAGAGTGAGACTTGGACTCAAAAAAAAAAGAAGAAATAATTTTAGCTGGGCACGGTGGCTCATGCCTGTAATCCCAGCACTTTGGGAGACAGAGGATTACTTGAGCTCAGGGGTTCGAGACCAGCTAGAGCAACATGGTAAGACCTTGTCTCTACAATAAATCAAAAGATTAGCCAGGCATGGTGGCACGCACCTGTAGTTGTAGCTACTTGAAAGGCTGAGGCAAAAGGATTGGCTGAGCCCAGCAGGTCGAGGCTGCAGTGGCCGTGAGCGGGCCACTGTACTCCAGCCTGGGTGACAGAGTGAGACTCCAACTCAAAAAAGAAAAAGAGATTATTTGAATGATTTCCATTTCTTTTATTATTAGAACATTATTATGAAACTTTTTTTGCATGTGTTTCCTCGGGTGCACTTGGAAGATTTTCTTTAGGACAGTGACATTCAAAGTGTGATCCACAGACAAATAGTCCACAGACTGTCACTGGCCCAACAAGACAGATGTAGGAATTGAGAATATGCATTTTTAGAGACTCATAGCAACTTGGTATTGTTGTGACATCCAAACTGAATATTTTTCTAGGAATTTATTTTTATTGTATATTACTGAAGTGGCAATGCAGGACAGATTGAAAAATTATTTTTTAAAAGGGCTTTCATGATAGTTTGAGAATCACAACTCACTTTCCCATACTGATCTCCTTGATATACAAGGTCTGACAATTAAGATCACAAACTCATCCTAGAAAAAGTGCTACATACCTCGTTGCTGAATATCACTACGGTCACCTTTGAAGTTCTCCCCTTGGGAAGCTAGGCACTGACATCATTGCCTAGTCTACTCATCAGAGCAATTTTGGAACTCTTTTTCTGGAATGGCCATCATAGTTGTCTTTGTATTACCCTTGATGTCCTGAATATCATCAAAATGTCTTTCTTTCAATATTTCCTTTAGCTTCAGGTTTAAAAAAAAAGTCATTGGGGGCCAGATCGGGTGAGTAGGGAGAGTGATCCAGCACAGTTATTTGTTTACTGGTTAAAAACTCCCTCACAGACAGTACTGTGTGAGCTGGTGCATTGTCATGATGCGAGAGCTACTTTGGGACCATTTTTGTATACACATTTCTCATGCCAACATTTTCAGTTAAGATTTTCCTAACTGATCCTCTACCGACGTTTATTTGGTCTGCTTTGCTTCTCACAGTCAGCCAATGAGTTTGACATACAATGTGACAAATTTTTGCAATGTTTTCATCAGTTCTGCTCGTTACTGTCCTCCTAACCTCTCTTCATCAGTGATGCTTTCTCTCCCTCAGAAAAACATTTAATCCATTTATACACTGCCATTTTCTTTATGGGATTATCCCCATAAACTTGGACTAACATGTTCCTGATTTCACTTCCACTCCTGCCAAGTTTAACAAGAAATTTAATATTTGTTCATTGCTCTAATTCAAGTTCCAACATTCTTACAACAGCACACAATAACATGCAACAACAATAATGAACACCACTTAGCTGGATATCACCACACGTAGACATGAACACAACTATGAGACACTGATATACCAAGGTCATGAAACCTTAGCAAGTTGTTTGTACAGTGCTAGCAACATAAGCACATGGTGGCAAGTTCATGAACTTAATTGTCACACCTCATATATAGATCCATTTCTGTCATCTATGTACTTTTGTCTATTTTTTCTATGCTTTTCTTCTCCTTCCTCCCTCCCTCCCTCCCTTCACCGGGGTCTCACTCCATCCCGGACTGGAGTACAGTGGCACAATCACAGCTCACCACAGCCTCAACCTTCTGGGCTCAGGTGATCCTTCTACTTCAGCCTCCAAAGTAGCTGGAACAATGAGTACATGCCTTCATGTAGGCTACTTTTTTTTTTTTTTTTTAGTAGAGATGAGGTCTTGCTATGTTGCCCAGGCTAATCTCAAACTCCTGGGCTCAGGCAATCCTACTGCCTCTGCTGGGATTACAGGCATAAGCCATGGCACTCAGTCTTTTCTTGCCTTTTTAAAAAGTGGCACATTAGTTTTTTTATTGTTTTTTTTCTCCGACCTCGTTTTTCTTCCAATGGCTACCCGTGAGACTTGACTGTGGATATCAAACAAGTTCTAACATAAATCCATATTTGACCCTCCTCCAATAGTCCAAGAACCTTAGAACACCGATTTCAAACCCTCTAACATTATTTAATAACATTATTTCATAATCTAACATTATTTTCTCCAATTTTTACTTCTGTTTTAACCCCACAATTAAAACCTCATCATGGTTTAAGACATTATAAACACTTCAGACATTATAAACATCATTTTAGACACTGTAAACATTTTAGACATTATAAACATCATTTTAGACATGATAAACATTTTAGAAAATGTTTATATTTGCTTAATATTTACTGATCTCTTTGTTCCTATTACTTCTTGCTTTAGACCTCCCTTCAGATTTCATTTCTTTAATTCAGAAGTACATCTTTTAGAAGTTCAGTTAATGAAGGTCTATGGGTGGTAAACTCTATGTTAATGTTTTGGGGTCTGTTGTTATTGTTCTTCTGCTTTTCCTGAATCTTTTGCCCTCATTCTTGAAATATCACTTTTTTGGGCACACAATTATGGGTTTTAAAAAATGTGTTCCTTGGCACTTTGAAGAGAATATCCCATTGGATGCTGGCTCTCATTGTTGTTTGGAGAAGTGTGCTGTCAATCTAATTAATCATTGTTCTTTGGTATTTGTCTTTTCTCTCTGGCTGCTTTGTCTTTGGTACCCTACAGTTCACTATAATGTGTCTAGGTATAATTTTTGTTTTTTTCTGTATGGCATATAAGGTCTGACCAAACTCATCCTAGAAAAAGAGCTGCATACCTCATTGCTGAATATCACTACAGTTGCCTTTGAAGTATTCCCCTTGGGAAGCTACGCACCAATGCCAGCGCTAAGTCTACCCATCAAAACACTTTTGGAACTCTTTTTCTGGAATAGCCATCAGAGGCATCATTGTATTACACTTGAGGTCCTGAATGTCATCAAGTGTCTTTCTTTCACAATTTTCTTTATCTTTGGGTAAAGAAAAAAGTCATAGGGGGCCAGATCAGGTGAGTAGAGAGGGTGTTGCAAGCAGTTATTTGTACAGTGCTCAGTAGCAAGTTCTTGAACTTAATTATCAGACTTCAATGAAGACAGCTCTGATGGCCATTCCAGAAAAAGAGTTCCAAAACTGCTTTGATGGGTGAACTAGGCACTGGCGTCAGTGCATAGCTTCCCAAGGGGAGTACTTCGAAGGTGACTATAGTGATATTCAGCAGTGAGGTATGTAGCACTTTTTTTTTTTTTTTTTTTTTTTTTTCTTTAACCAGTGGTTTTTATTAAGGTTTGGGGGGGTACAGTTAAGGGAAGGTGAACAATGACGTTTCATTCAGGCACCCTGTAGATAAGAAGTGTTTTCCCATCCCCCGACAGATATTTGCTACTGTTAATCCCATCCCCCTCCCCCCCTGCACTTTTTAAAGGATGATTTGTGAACCTAATTGTGGGACCTCATTTATTGTCTTTTATGTATCTGTGAATGAATGGAGGTAGTTCTAAAAATTCTCAGCCATTCTCCTCAAATATCACTTTTCTCTTATCATCTCTATTTCCTTCGAGATTCCAAAGAGACCTAAATTAGGCTTTCTCCTTTTATCTTGCCCAGTTTATCCCATCTTTCATATTTCTAAATCTTTGTCACACTGTGGTATTCTAGCTAATTTTCTTCAGCACAGTCTTTCAATGCTTCAATTCTCTCCTCAGTTGTGTGCAATCTGCTGTCTAACCCATTCACTGAGTTTGAAATTACAACAATTATATATTGAAAAAGTTATATACTGAGTTCCTTCAAGTTTGATCTGATTCTTTTTAAATTCTGCCTGATCATTTTTGACATCTCTTAATGGTTGCTCATTCTTGTGATTCTATCTTTTATTTATATATACATTCCACTTATTTTATAGTCAATGTCTGATCATTTTAAAATCTTATGTCCTTGAACTTCTAAATCTTGCTAGTCTCTGACTGAAATGCTGATATGTGACTTACTTGTAGGGAACATCCTCCTGTGAATTTTCTTGCTTCTCACAGCTCCAGCTGTAAGTTCAATTTACTACCTTTTGGGAGTGGGACAGGTGGTGGCAAAGGAGAGATTTCTCTTATTTCCTATGAGTCTAGAATTTCATTAAAAAGACAATTTTTCTCAAGAATCTAGTTTGGTAGTGGGTGGGCCTTTGGGAACACCTAATCCACCATACTCCTGAAAGCTGACACTAACTTATCATTATTTTTTTTTGTTGGAGTCTCACTCCGTTGCCCAGGCTGGAGTGCAGTGGCACACTCATGGCTACCTCAGCATTGACCCACTGGGCTCAGGCAATCCTTCCACTCAGCTTTCCAAGTAGCCATAAATATAGGCACGCACTACCACGCCCAGCTAATCTTTTGATTTATTGTAGATATGAGGTCTCACCAAGTTGCCCAAGCTGGTCTCGAACCCATGGGCTCAGTCAATCTTCTCACCTTGGCCTCCCAAAGTGGTGGGATTACAGGCTTGAGCCACCATATCCAGCCAACACTAACTTTTTAACCCTGGGTCTCAGGTAAAATGTCAAAGGAATGGTGGGAATAGGAGAAAGTTGCCATGACCTGTTTCTCAGAGGTCTTGGGAAAGAAAGTCATCGAAATTTAGGCAGAGCCTTAGAGAAGTCACCTTATGTATCTATAAGGTACAAATAAAACCCTACTGGGTCACAGGAGCCAATTATGTGCATCTCTTCCCAACTCTGTATTCAGTGACAACATGTTAGTAGTGTGAAGTTGGCCAATGCTATAAGTTATTTAAAACTCTGTTTTGGAGACCTGGTTGTTAGACATTTATCAGCATACCACTTAGGCAAACCCTCCACGGGATGACCCCACCCAGCAATAACCCACTAACACCAACAGTCTATTGCAAATGCTCAGCTTAATTCAGCGTGGATAGTGACTTGTCCCTGATAAGTGCACTCATGCTGGCCTTCCTCCCCTGCTACAGTATCACTGAACTTGGAAGTGTTCCTCCCTAACCCCGGTTCCCTTTCCACCCACTTCAGAGACCTTTCCCACTCCCTATACCAGCCCTTTGTCCCTCACTGACTCAAAGCCACAACTGATGCCATCGACTTTGCACAAGTGGATATCTTGTCTGAGCCATCTTTCCAAGCTGTCTAAATGACTTGCTTTACAATTAATCTCATCCTGTCTTGTGACATCTTTTCTATTATTGCTCTGAATTCCTAGTTGAACTATTTATTTTTATTTAACTTGGTATAAACTTAACTAAGAGACGTGCATTTTTACCACATATGTGAATAGTGGGGCAGAGACTGCTTTTTCAGACAAAGTTCAAGTCTGGATATCTGTACCCAGGCTTGTTTTCTTTTGAGTGAGAGTCTCACTCTGTTGCCCAGGCGGGAGTATAGTGGCATGCTGCTCACGGCCACCACAGCCTTGACCTGTTGGACTCTGGCGATCCTTCTGCCTCAGCCTTCCAAGTAGTTGGAGCTACAGGCGTGTGCCACCATGCCCAGCTAAATTTTTTATTTATTGTAGAGACGAGGTCTCACCATGTTGACCAGGCTGGTCTCAAACTCCTGAGCTTAGGCAATCCTCTTGCCTCAGTCTCCCAAAGTGCTGGGATTATAGGTGTGAGCCACCACCCCTGGCTGCGATAAGAAGTTTTCAGTCAGAAGTGTTAGCTCTCAGATGAGAGGGAGACCACATGCTCCCTCTACCTCCAAGACCACTCCAACTCCTAAAGCAGAGACATAGATGGTAGTTCTCAATTTTCCCTCCTGCAGGACTGCTTTTCATGTCACCCAACCTCCAGCCCAATCCTCATAAGGGGGCTTCTTGGGTACAGAACAGGCAGAGCCTGGGTCAAATGTGAGAGAAACAAGGGAAAGAGAAAGTAGCCAGGGCCCCACTGGTACTGGGCACCCTCATGCATGAATAAAGGTCACACATTGGAGAGGCGAGTGGGTAGATCTGGCAGATGACTTTCTTTTTCCTTTTCAGGAAATCCAAAGCTTCTTCAGAAAAGGTTGACTTTATCTGAATGCAAGAGTGTGAGGTAACTTTAAATCTTCACAATAATAAACTCACTAAAAGCAGGAGGTTGGTTCAGCTCTGGGGTTTCATTCTTCAAAGGTCTCCAGCCCTGCCTGGCCCCACTTCCCTACTGGGTGCTCAAAACCTGTACCTGGACCCTCACCCAGACTCCCAGTAAGACATTTCCTTCCCTACTCATGGGTTGCTAGGGAATAACTCAAGATACCATTTTTCAGCCCAGTAGCCACAGCCCCAGACATGGATGTGTTCCTGGGATTTCTCTACCTTTGATGCCAAATTCTTAGCTGGGAGAGAACAGGCCTAAAACTCACCAACAAATTCCGGTGTCCCAAAGATGTTCTTAAATTCAACGCCATCTTCTATTTCGTGAGCCAGGCCAAAGTCAATCAGCTTGATGTGTGGAATGGGAATATTCTTGTCTAACAACATGATGTTTTCTGGCTGGACAACAAAAAGACAAAAAAAAAAAAAGGAAGGAAGAACATGAAAGATGGCAATTAAAGCCTCGTTTTGTTTTTTTCCTTTGAGGGTTTGGGGTGGAGTTTGGTGTTCTTTTTTAGGAGACCAAAACAGCATAAACTCTTGCTTTCGTGTCCTCGGTCTTCTGTGAACTCAAAAACAGGTGCAGTGTGGAGGGTAAGGCCTAGGTTTTACTAAACTGAAGAACTGAAGACTTATTGTTTTCGTTGCTTTTTTTTGAGTCGGAGTCTCACTTTGTCGCCCAGGCTGGAGTGCAGTGGCACACTCACGGCTACTGCAGCCCCAAAATGCTGGGCTCAGGTGATCCTTCCGCCTCAGCACTCCGAGCAGCTGAAACTACAGGTATGTGTTACCATGCCCGGCTTATTTTTTTTTATTGTAGAGACAAGATTTTATTGAGTTGCCCAGGCTAGTCTCGAACCCCTGGGCTCAGGCAATCCTCTTACCTCTGCCTCCCAAAGTGCTGGGATTACAGAATTGAGTCACCACACCTGGCTTTGTTTTTGTTTTAAATATATTTTATTTTAAAGATGTAGGGTACAATTCAGGATTAGGTATAAAAGTGGGCATTGAACAGGCAAAGTTTGGGCCTCCCTTTGGTTCCCACTTTACCTGGTTTGAGATCAGATACCCTTATTAATGTTGTGTTTCCACTGACACCAACCCTGTCAGTATCCCACTACTGTCAATCCCTTTCTTACAGTATTATGACAAATGTTCAGGGTCCACTTATGAGTAAGAACATGTGGTACTCTGTTCTTTGTTTCTGTGATAGATCACTGAGTATCCATCATATGATACGAAGTCCATATGTTTGTCCTTCTTTATGGCTGTGTAATATTCCATTGTGTATATGTACCACATTTTAAAAATCCAGCCCAGTTTCAATGAGCAGCACAGTCAGTTCCGTTTTTGCTATTGTGAATAATGCTGCAATAAACATGTATGTGCAGGTATCTTTTTTGTAGAATACTTTGAGTTCCTCCAGGTATATTCCCGGTAGGGGGATTGCTGGGTCATATGGAAGGTTGATTTTTTTTTTTTGAGTTGGAGCCTCACTCCGTCGCCCAGGCTGGAGTGCAGTGTCATACTCACGGTTTCCCTAGCTTCGACCTGCTAAGGCTCCGGCAACCCTTCCACCTCAACCTTCCAAGTAGCCAGAACTATAGGCATGCACAACCATGCCCAGTTAATTTTTTAATTTATTGTAGAGACAAGGTCTTGCCAAGTTGCCCAGGCTGGTCTCGAACCCACAAGTTCAGGCAATCCACTCGCCTTTGCCTCCCAAAGTGCTGGGATTACAGGCTGAGCCACTGAGCCCAGTTGGAAGGTCGATTTCTAAGAACTGAAGACTTTGGCTTTGATCTCCCTTCTGTCTCTTAATGGAAGATCCCTTAATGCAGTGACACTGTTTCCTGATCTGTCAAACAGAGTCAGTGAGATACTTGCAGCATTTCCTGTAAACAAAGCCACCACCTCCGTGTGAGTGTGATGAGGACAGGGATACCACAAGTCAGCCCCTGTTTACACTTGGCTCATTGACCTCCGTCTTCCTGACCACCTCTTTCCCTGGCCAGCCAGCTTCCTGTTGACAACCTCCCCTCCTCTAGACTAACGGCGTGGCCCACATTTCTCTATGTGCTTAACTAATTTGGGGCTTCAGCAGGACACAAGAAAAAATGCACCCGATTTTCAGGGAAAATACCAGCTGCTCAGGCTATTTCCAGACCAGCAAACAGCTGCCAGGTCTGACACAACAACATGGGCTGGTGGCGGGGGAAGGGAACCCCTCCCACACTCCACAAGCCTGGTCCTCACACAGCGTGGCCTCTTAGTGATGCCAGCAGAGGATTCTGCGCCTTCCCTTCTCACTCTCACCCAGCCACTCAGACTACACAGTGGGTGTGCAGGTCCCTCTGCTTTACCCTCATTGTCCCACAGTTGCCCTGGATGCCATTCAAAATGAAATGTCCTGAAAACGCATTTACACAAATGTTTGTACACAAACGTTCATAGCAGCATTATTCACAATAGCCCTAATAGAAGCACCTAAATGCCCATCAACCGGGGAATGGATGAGCAAGATATGATATACCCAGGACACATATAGTATTCATACATGAATACCATTCCCTCAGAAAAAGGAATGAAGTCAAAGAAAAACGCTAGGCCGGGCGCAGTGGCTTGTGCCTGTAATCCCAGCACTTTGAGAGGCAGAGGCAAAGGGATTGCCCAAGACCAGGGGTTCAAGACCAGCCTGGGCAACTTGGTGAGACCTTGTCTGTACAATGAATCAAAAAATTAGCCAGGTGTGGTGGTGTATGCCTGCAGTTCCAGCAACTTGGAAGACTGAGGTAAAAGGATCACCTAAGCCAAGCAGGTCGAAGCTGTGGTAGCCATGAGCCTGCCACTGCACTCCAGCCTGGGCAACAGAGTGAGACTCTGATTAAAAAAACAAACAAACAAAAAAAAAGCTAAACAGGAATAAAGTACTGACCCTGCTACAATGTGGATGAACCTTGAAAACATGATGCTAGGCCGGGTTCAGTGGCTCAGCCTGCAATCCCAGCACCTTGGGAGGCTGAGGCAAGTGGATTGCCTGAGCCCGCGGGTTCAAGACCAGCCTGGGCAACTTGACAAAGACTTCGTCTCTACAATAAATAAATAAAAATTAGCTCCCCCACCACCTACCACTGGGGAGAGGAGAACCTATTCAGTAAATGGTGCTGGGAAAACTGGCTGACCACAAGCAGAAGATTGAAACAGGACCCCTATCTAACCCCATGCACAAAGGTTAACTCCAAATGGATCAGAGACCTAAATGTAAAACC